ATAACAGCGCTTTTGCAGCACTGTGTTTCCGGGGCGCTTTTACAGCGCCTCGTCTTCGTATAACAGCACTTTTGCAGCGCTGTTTCTGGGGCGCGTTTGCAGCACCTCGTCATCTTATAACAGCGCTTTTGCAGCATTGTTTCTGGGGCACTTTTACAGCACCTCGTCATCTTATATCAGCTTTTTGGAGCGCTTTTGCAGCACCCCAGCGCTTTTGCAGCGGGGCGCTTTTGCAGCACCTCGTCATCTTATAACAGCGCTTTTGCAGCACTGTTTCTGGGGCACTTTTTGCAGCACTCTTGTCATCTTAACAGCGCCTAGGCAGCACCGTTTCCGGGGCAGTGCCTCGTAGCGCAAACTTCCTGGAAAACTTGCGGGGGCTATTTTTGTGTTTAACGCCATCTGTCATAGATAGCCCAAACGTGGCTCTGACATGCGCGTGCTCATTTCGCTTTGCGTGCTTTGATTCGTTGCAGATGGCTTATGGCGTTGCGCCTTCTGCTTGCTTAAAACTGTGTTCCGGAATTGACATGGTTTGGTGTGGGAAACGTGCCTAGTTAACCCTCGTCTGATTTTAAATCCAAAAGAAACGCCAGCCGTCGGAAAAATGAACCAAGTTCAGCCTACCAGTTGCCAAGAAATACACCAGAAGCAACAGCAAAAAAACACAAAAGCGCAATACAAAGCACAGCCCAGTTGATCTCGGCAGCCTTCTCCTGGCGCCGTCCACGCGTGCCAAAACTCGTGAATACCAACGCCTTCCCTGCGCTCAAGCGTGCAGTCGCATCACTGCCAAATGGTAAGCACACCCGGCACACAGGTCTGCCAAATGCTACGCACACCCGCTCTGGCGCACCCGCTCAGCACTGCAGACACGCCTGCCAGAAAGCGCGCCCGCTCAGCACTGCACACGCGCCTGCCAAATGGTAAGCGCGCCCGCTCAAGTGCACACGCTCAGCGCTGCACACACGCCTGCCAAATGGTAACCGCCCCTGCTCAAGCGCAGCTGCCCGCCAAATGGTACGCGCACCCGCTCAAGCGCACCTGCTCAGCACTGCACGCACGCTGTCGCATGGTTTTGATGTCATCAGCGGTTTTGATCTGTTTTTTGGTGGGGCGGTTTGCCGCGTGTTGAGAGGGAAGGTAGGCAGTGCTTTTGTTCCCCGCGCCCCATGGTGCTGGAAGCGCGTGGCACGCAGACACAGACAAACACAGACAGACCAACCACATAGACCGCCAAACAATCGCACACTAAGCAACAAACATATCAACATAAAAACACTCAGGCAAACACACAAACAAACAGACAAACAGGCAAACGAACATGAAAACACACAGACAAGCTTGCAAACAAAACACAGACGCATGCGCAAAACAAGGTGCAAGCACGCACGCGCACACACACACACACACAACCACAGCTGCAACCACAACCGCAGCCGCCGCCGCAACGACAAAACCAACAACAACAACAACAACAACAACAACAACAACAACAACAACAACAACAACAACAACAACACCAGCAGCAGCAACAACCACCACCACCACCACCACCACCACGACGACGACGACGACGACGACAACAACAACAACAACAACAACAACAACAACAACAACAACAACAACAACAACAGCAACAGCAACAGCAACAGCAACAGCAACAGCAACAGCCACAACAACAACCGCAACAACAACAACAAGAACAAGAACAAGAACAACAACAACAACAACAACAACAACAACAACAACAACAACAACAACAACAACAACAACAACAACAACAAAACAGCAACAGCCACAGCCACAGCCACAGCCGCAGCAACAACGGCCCGCAGGGGGATACTGCTGAGCCCATCGTGAGACGAGGCATGCGCAGGGCCATTCTCCATTGTAAATAGCGGTGTTTCCCGTGCGTTCGCTACGCGAAACGCGTGGTTTCATAACTTTCTTTTGAATCAAAGGCTTTCCGCACACCCTTCCAGCAAAACACACGAAAGGGTTTTTGCGTTTTCATGCGGTCTTTTTGCGCTATTGCATTCATGATGCGTCTCCTGTCTGCATCTTTGTGTGTTTGTTTGTTTGGATGTTCGTGACGTCTTGTTGCGTGTGGTGTTGGTTGGTTGGTCCGTTGGTCGGTTGGTGGGTTAGCTGCTTGTTTGTGTGTTTCGTTGTGTTGCGTCGTGTTTGTTGTGTATTGTTGTGTTGTGTTTCCGGTTGGTGTTTTGCATGGTTTTGTTTACAGTCTTGTCGCTGATTGTTCTGCCGTGTTTCGTGTTAGCTTGCGGGCTGCGTGCGCGTGGGAAAGGACACGCGGATGTGTGTGCGTGTGTGTGTGTTTGCGTACGCGTCTCTGTGTTGTTGTGTCTTTGTGCCTTTGTCTATCTGGCTCTCTTTCCCTGTCTCTGTCTTTCTTTCCTTCTCTATATCTCTCACTCGCTCTCTCTTTCTCTCTCTTTCTTTCTTTCTTTCTTTCTTTCTTTCTTTCTTTCTTTCTTTCTTTCTTTCTTTCTTTCTCTCTCTCTCTCTCTGTCTCTCTCTCTCTCTCCCTCTCTCGCTCTTTCCACGCTACTCTTTGCGTCTCTCAGTATCGCTTGATCAAGATGATGTGACCCTGTTCGTGTTGCCTTTGCGTCTTGCTTTGTTTGCGTTTACCTGTGTGTCTCCTTGTTGCGTCGCTGTCGCTGCGTCTCATTGCACGTGTGGTCTTCGCGTCTGTCGTTGTTACCTCCCCTGTGCCTCTGAGCCTGTCTTTGTCTCCCTCTCTCTCTCTCTCTCTCTCTATCTCTGTGTCTGTTTCTGTGCGTTATCTCCCTGCTGCTGTGTGTTGGCGCGCATGTGTGTGTGTGTCTGTTTGCGCCCATGTCTTTTTTTTGCGCGCCGTCCCCCTTCCAGCGCCCACCTTCCACACAAGCCACGCAAACATCTTATGTTAAAGGTACAAGGGGGGCGAGCCTTTTTTGGCATATATGTATATATGGCGCTTGTTGTCGCGCACATTTATAGGCGTGAAGTGTAGGTTGCGCATTGTCATGTTGAACAGCAACAGCCATGAGTTTACGCTGTTTACACACTGCGTTCTGTTCATAAACCAGCTTGTCTTGCGTGTGTTAATCTGGTTCTGACTAGATTGGCGGAAAGGGAGGAGCTGAGTTTGGTCACGTAGCACAGCCGAGCCTTACCACAAAACTTCCCGCTCCCATCTTTGGTGAAACCGCTAAGCCCTTAAAAGACTATATGTTTATAAACTGGCCTCAAAGTTTTTTCACCCTGTGTTGGTTTACTGCGCGGCGTGGATTTTCTCTCAATCTGCCACCCAAGGGAACACGTGCTGAAAAGGACTGTGTTTAACAGCATTTGGTTGAACTTCTGATCCCTTTGCTGCGGGAACGCCTGAGGTCTAGCGTTTGGAGATCTGAGTGCGTAATTTGGAGCCGGGAGTCCTCCAAAGTATCCAACTACAAATTCCTTCCCAAATGGGAGTCTACTCCAAAGTGAAAATTTTGAACAGACGTTAGGAAGGCCAGAACTGCTACAGTCACTTTTGATTTAAAAGGGCATTCCTTTCCAAACAAGTGTTAGAGCACAAATTAAGGAGAATTGAATTACAACTTGACACAAACATCATGCAACTGGCTTGTGAAAATGTAACTTACGTAGGAATTCCGTCATGGAATTTAGTACAGAAGACTTCAGTTGGCCTTTGAAAGCAAGTTTAAGCAGTGACTAAAGCAAATATTCGGCCAACATCCCCGGACGTCTGGCTAGTTGCAGGCGCAGGCTTCAGAGCTTCCATCTTCAAGCGGTTTTGTTTTTATTTGCCTGCGCAGGTTTTCAGAGCTCGAAGCTGCACGTCGCGTGCTAAATGTTGTTTTGCTTTGTGTGTAAAACCAATGTAAAGTCCTGTGTTCTCAAGCAAAGCCAGTCTTGAATCCAAAAACGGAGTCCGTTTGCGACTTCTTGCTTCTCAATCCTCCAAAAAGACCAAACTTTTGCTTCCGCAGCGAATGTTACACATCCAAAAACACACTGTGCTTTGGAGTGTTTTAGACACGGAGAAGAAAACGAAGAGTAGATACACACTTTCCAACTAGAATCGTGAAAGGTGGGCCCGGGGCAGGAACCATATATATATATATATGTAGTTTGTGTTTGTCTTTCTCTTCGCCTCTCTGGGTCTCTCTCTCTCTCTCTCTCTCTTTGTCAATGTGGATTTATCTGTGTTTCCCTCCAAGTCCTTTGCATCTTTTGCACCCCTGTGTCTCTCCGTGCCCATCTTTCGTTTCTGTCTCCGTCTCTGGTTCGCTCTCTCTTCTCCCTCTCTCCCTCTCGAATCTCGCTTCTCTCTTTCTTCTCTGTCTCTTTTTCTTTTTCTCTCTCTCTCTCTCTTCTCTCTCGCTCCCTTCTCTCTCCCTCTCTTCTCTCTCTCTCTCTCTCTCTCTCTCTCGCTCTCTCTCTTTCTCTCTCTCTGTCACTCACTCACTCACTCACTCACTCACTCACTCACTCAGTCACTCACTCACTCACTCACTCACTCACTCACTCACTCACTCACTCACTCACTCACTCACTCACTCACTCACTCACTCACTCACTCACTCACTCACTCACTCACTCACTCACTCACTCACTCACTCACTCACTCACTCACTCACTCACTCACCACTCACTCACTCACCACTCACTCACTCACTCACTCACTCACTCACTCACTCACTCACTCACTCACTCACTCACTCACTCACTCACTCACTCACTCACTCACTCACTCTCACGTGATTTTTCTCTCTCACGCGCTCTCTCCCGTATTTCCTGCTGCTTGCGCCGTGATTGTGTTTATGTCTCTCTGTGTGTTGTCTCGGAGTCGTCGCTCTCTTTTTTATGTCACATGTTTGTTTTGTGTTTGCTTGCATTTGTGCCCGTGTGTTGGTGCGTTTGCGTGTCTGTGCGCAGCTGTTTCTTAACTACATTCAGAGCAGTGGGTAGTTGTTTGCACAAATATGGGGACACTTGGGAGACTCATGGTCTCCTCATGTATGAGGACTGCTACTTGCGCCAAACTATGGCGAGACACGAAATCTGGTCTTGCGCCTGAGTATGCCGGGCCCTTCAATTCGGTTTCAGTGTATCATCACGCATTGCGACCTGTTCCACAGGTCCTGTTGGACAGCATGGGCAGGGGGGAGAAACGGATTCCTCAAGGCGCTGCTCATTCGTTCTTTGTCTGCACGCCACATACTGGATGTGGCCTATTCCAGCATCTTTCAGAAGAAATCCTTTCAATTGGCGCATCCTACAAAGCTCACCTAAGATACAGCGATTCCATCCTGCGTTGTGCATTAGGAGTTTCATCGGCTCGATGAGTTGTGAATGAAAGAACCTGAACATGAAACAGTGCAAATTGAACTGGGAGCTAGGTTCAGGTTTTTAGGCGATCCTCTAACGTAGATGTGTGCTGTGAATTACTTGCATTTGTGGTAGCGCGGATGCTCTCAGGTTCTTGCGGCCAGAGACGGCTGAGTCTCTCTTCTACATGTATCGGCTGACTGGCCATGAGAGACTTGTCTGACAGGGACGCTCATGGACCCACGAACGGGTTCACGCGGTCTCCCTTTCGGGCAAATTATGTTCTCAGATTGTTTTCACCCCTAGATGTTCATAGCACATGTTTTCTGCAGAATGGCTTCAAGAGGGTGGGCCAATACCCACCAGTCACAAGGGGTGTGCTTTTGCTTTTAAAAATTTGGGACTTTGGGGCCATCGTTGGTTTGGTGTGTCTTTGAGGAATGTCCAAGCCATCGGAGCTTTGGTTTGCAGGGATGACTTTCATCACGCGAAGAGTTGCTTTGGTGATGTCTTGCGGGATGTCTTTTGGGATAACTGTGGGGAAGCCGTTGGGAATACCGTTGAGGATATCTTTGGGGATGTTTTTGGGGTGTTCTTTGTTCCTGAAAGCATTGCGAAGTTTTCTTCAGGAAAGGTCTGGATCGGATTGCACCAGAAAGTAGGAAACACGGAAGTAGTACGCGAAGTATACTTTCGCAGCTCTGGCTGGAAAATCGCACGAAAGTAGTTCTCGAAGTACCCTTTCGCAGCTGCGGCAGGAAAATCACAAGTTGATTCGCGAAGTACACTTTCAGAAGGCTCCGGCTGCCAGATCGCAATTGTTTAACTACGAAAACATTACGCGAAGTAGGTCCGGATTGACAATTGTACTCGCGTCGACAGGTTGCTGTGTTGTCGCTGCGCGCAAACTAATGCTTTCGGGCCACCCATCTTCCAGTTGTTATTGAGTATGTCTTCAAGCGACATCCCATTGACATTCCCAACGGCATCCCAAAAAAAAGCAGCGACATTAGCAAAGACAGAGCGAAGCCATCCCGAAGTCGTCTGACTCTTAGGTTTGTCTTTGGCGCGTGTTTTCGGGTTGATGGGAATGTCACTGGGATTGCACATGTCTGCATTCAGGTTGTTGGCCTTTATCAGGTTTGAAACGATCCTGATTCGGGGCGGAGCATGATCACTCAAGATTTGGCTGTGTTTCCCGAATCTGGCAAGGAAGTATCGAAAATGGGGCAAGAAACTCTTCCACGCCATCGTGGAGCACAGCAAATTGCCCGGTGGCTACGGCTCTGTCAAGGTGAGCTTGCGCGCTGAGTTGCCTTCACCGAATAGTGTGCAGATTCCATGGCTGGTCTGGCACATCATGTGTCAGGACGTCAATAAAGTGCCCACATCCAAATTGGATGAGATGCAAAGCTTTGTCATGGCGGAGACCTTCAAGTACCTGTACTTGCTGTTCTCATCTGACAAGGCACCCTTTGGTGTGGCCAGGTGTGACTGTTTATGGCGATTCGTGCGCCACTTAACTGCTAGTTTTCAGTCGGATTGCCTATTTGTGGAAGTCACATGAAGTCACATGTGCTCACCCTCGCAGGCTCTGGACATGGGCAAATTTGTGCTGAACACAGAGGCACCTGGTTGGAAATCGGTGCGGTGGGCACATTTCAAACGGTGACTTGGGGCATGTGTTCCAGGCGCGTTGCACCTTTTTACTTGGCATGACGCAGGGACATCCTTTGCGAAAGACATCCATTTGAGTGCGCCAAGTATTGTTTGCAGATGCAAAGATCATTGATGTGTGCGAAGAAAACATGCAGAGCCAGTGCATGTGCACACCACAGCGGACAGCATATATCCCGGATCTGTGAACTGCCGTTGCCGGCTGCAGGATAATTGGTTTTGGCCAGCGTTTCAGTTATGAGCAATATTCTTGATCAAGATTCCAGAAGGCATACCGGTGGCTGTACGCGTTTGAGATACACCAGGCATATAGTTTCCGAATAGTCACGAGCTGCCACCCCAGTCATATGGCCCATGTCGTATGGGCCGGATGTTGGTGGCATCAACGGGAGCTTGGACTTCCGTGTGGCTCACGGGCAGCGCTACCCTCAGAGTCAAGAGCGTAGAGCATCGTAGAGCATCGTAGAGCATCGTAGAGTACTTATTCTCAGAACTTCAAGCTTCGAGCTTCGGCAAAGGCACTGGGCTGGGACTCCAGCTGGTCAGAAGCGCTGCAAGCTCAGAGTGGTTGCAAAAGGTTGAGCCATTTGAGCCCATGGCCAGGGTTGCTAGGTTTTGGCATGGCTTTGTTATTTTCGAGTGTTTGTGTACTTGTCTCACAGGCAAGCTTCGCGAAGCCTTGAAGTCTTGAAGCCTTCAACCTTGCCTAATCAAAGCCTCAAGCCGCAGCAACAGTTGCTCAAGTGCCAGACGGCTGCTTGATTTTGTCTTCCCACATACCGGCATAACGGTGAAAGCAGTGTCGACCGATGAGTTTGTTTTCAGCTCCTGGATAGTGTAAATGGTTTTAAGATAAGCCTTTGAATTTGTTGTTTCTCCGATACTGCGGGAAGCGCCCTCATTTTGTAGTGATCTCATTTCACTCACTCCAGGCATTGCAGTGTCTACAAGACTTGAGACTCCAGCCTCAAGTGTAGCCGCCACTGGCATTGTAACATTGACACTGCAACGCCTCCTCCTTGGCTGGGACAAGACAGTCTGGCTGTGTGGTTTACTGTTTGCAAACTTCACAACCACTGAAGCTTGCTTTCAAGCCGCTGCTTGTTCCGTCGAGCTGTGCATTGCAAGCCCCGAGCTGGGGTGCTGGCAAGTTTGCCAACCTCGCTTTCTTTGTCTTGTGATTTGGCAATCTATCTCGCTTCTCGATATTTCTCTTCCAAATGTGCAAGACGAACGAGCCTTGGCTTTTCATTCTGCAACTTTCTTTTGGCCCTGGCTGGGTAGATTCACGAAGATGGGGTTCAAGATAGATGGATGCAAGTCGTTGAATGCAACATAATGCAACGTCAGTGTGTGTGTGTGTGTTGAAAAATGTGTCGCGAAGAGCACGAAGGTGTGATCGCATCAGCTCTGAGCTCTAAGGAAGCTCCTGGTCCAGACGGCTTCCAGCCAGACTTGGAGCATTTCATCCGCCGCGGATGCTTGACATAAGAAGCATGCTTCATGAAAGGCTCCGGCAGAGTACTTATGAAAATCAGCAGCTACAGGTTGACTGTACTGTATTTTGCGAAGGCTCAGGTGCCAGACCTTGCTACGGAATGAAGGGCAGCAGCTAGAGCTAGGGCTTCAGGCAAAGTCATCTCAACATACCACAAGATTTGGATGAGGCTTAGATCCATGTTCTGCGGTGCAGTTTTCCCATTTCAAAGACCAAGGATATCTTGTCATACCCTCAACAACCTTGCCAGAG